TGAGAGCAGAGACAGGCCAGCATCCATCCAGCTGTCTCCACAAGCCCCGCCTCCTCCTGCTCGTTAGCCAGCGCCCGCTCCTGATTGGCTCTGCCTCCGAGCTCGTTAAGTATAAAGAGGATTGTGCTCGTTAATTATGATCACTGGCTTATATGATGCATTCTGAGAGTGATTTATGACGCTATTTAAATTGTGCTTACAAAAGTTATTAAACGTGGATATTAATGGTTTTATTCTGCCTTTAACTGAACACAAACAGGAAATACACATTACTGCAGCTTCCTCCTCTTCCTCCTCCTCTTCCTCTCTCTGTCTCCTCATCCTCTTCTTCTTTTACCCCCCTCTTCCTCTTATCCACAGTTCTCTTCTTCCTCTGTCAGCTCCGCTCTCGTCTGAAGGGTTAACGGCTGCTGCTGACGGAGCTCCGACTGATGGAGCTTCACTGACACCCAGTGGTCAACTGGTAGAACTGCAACACAACTTTATTGATACAGTACAACACAAACAAACAAATACATAAATAAAATTATACCAGGCTGAAAATTAATACAATAAAAACAATCAATTGTAAAACAGAGAAAAAATAATAATAAATATAAATATATATAAATAAAATAAATAATATATAATAACATTATAGAAATACATCATAATAAAATAAATATATAAATATATATAATATAATAATATATCTAGTATGAATAGATAATAAAATAAATATAACTATACAATAAAATAAATATAACTTTCTATATATTAGGAATAAAAATAAAGTAAAAACCTAACAGGCTGCAACGTTCCTCCAGAGAGAGCTTTAATATTTAGAGGCAGAAACAGACTCAGTGGTTCCTTATTGAGACAAACATTTAAAAGAAAAGCTGTGGAGGAGCTCAGTGATCTGACTGGAACATAAAGTCTCTGATGTACGGAGGCCATTTAATGTTTTATAAACAAGTAATAGAAGAGGAGCGATGTGATCCAGCTTCAGACTGGATGTAGTTTTCTTTACTCAAGTAAAAGTCAAAACAGAAATAAAGCATAAAAGTAAAAGTTCTCTCGGTTTCTCTGAAGTAGATTTTCTGTTCGTGCACTGTAAAAAAACAAACGAGTCAAACTCTTAAGTTTCGAAATAAACTAATAATGATGATAGTCAACTTTTTTTACAAGCAAAAGATCTGTCTCATAATTTAATATATATCATTGATATAATAATTGATAACAAATATATATTATTTCATGTTTCAGTTCACAGCTGTGAACAAAAAACTCAAAGATAGAAGTTTTCCAAAAGAATAAAAGAACTAAAGATTATTATTACGTTAGTAAAACTTTTTTAATAAAAATTTTAGGGGTGTTAGAAATGTACAATATATATATATATAAATATATATATATATATAATATATTTAAATATAATATTATATTGTAATTTATCACATTGTACATAAATTTATATTATCAATTACTATATATATATATTATATATATATATAATATATATATATATTATATATATATTAATTTATATATATAAATATATACTATATATCTCAAACAATTAAACACTGAATTTGTCAAAAAAGAAACAATTTTAAAATGATTAAATATACAGAATACAGACAGAATTGTATAAAAAATATCAGTAAAACTCGTCTCTGATCAATATCCACAGAAATGATCTGCTCACAATTGATCTCAAAACTTCCTACAGTTATTTAAAAAATGTCTGAAGAAAAAAACTGTAATTAGGTTAAATACAGTAAAACAAATACGTTAAATCTCACAGTAGAACTGTTTCTTTTGGTGGTAAAAACTTGTATTTATATGATAAAATATGGAATAAAATCAATACTAATATCCTTTTACTGTAATGAACTGTATAATGAACTCACTGTAAAGGAAATAAGGTTATTTTTTACAGTTCATTACAATAAAAGTATAATTTCTTATTCCATATTTTACTGTATAAATACATGTTTTTACCATCAACAGAAGACATGAAAATATGTTGTATAAAAATAAGTTTTACTGTTACACAAGCTATATTTAACCTATTTACAGTTTACAGAGTTTTACTGTCGTGGTTTTACAGTTTTACACCACATTATTATTTAAATAACTGCAGTAAAGTTTGAGTTAAAAACGAGCGATTTGGATCAATTGTGAGCCGATTATTTCCTGTTAATGTTGATCAGACTGTTATTGTTGAATATAATATGAAATATTAATAAAATACAGTCGGTTTTCTCAGTGATAGAAAAGGAGAAAGGTTGAGTTACATTTCCATTAAATCCTCTTCTGCTTTGAATAAAACATATTTACACAATCATCCATTGAACTGTGTTCAAGGTTTGACTCTGATGGAGATTTCTTCTTCCTGAAGCTCTTTTTGCTCCTAAAAGAGAGAGGTAAAGTATCATCTGAGGCTCCTTTAAGATCCAACTGCAAAGGAAAATATGTAAAAATGTAAATCAGCCGCCGTCTATTGTGACTTTGTGTGAAAGTTTCCGTGCGAGCTGAAGGCCGCGGACTGAAAGATGAAGCTACAGTTATGAACGGAGGTCGGTGCTCAACAAAGTGGCACAATTTAATTTGTGCTGCAGGAAGTGCACGGCTGCGATAGACTCAGTAATGAAACCTCTCAGCTTTAAGTTCTGTCTACTTTATATTCACAAAGAGAAACGAGCGGAGCAGCCATTGTGGAGACATGCAAATACACTGATCTCTTTAATACGGGCTTCACCCAATTGGACGCCGACTTTGACAAGCAGAACAAATGCCCTGCGAGCGCAAACATGTGCAGGTCAGGAGGAGCGGCGCTGATGGCCGAGGCAGAATTCAACTTTCTTTATCCTCTTTTCAACGCCGGCAGTCACATTCTGCCTGTTCGCTTACTGTTAAATTACTCATCTGAGATTAGAGACGGCTTAAGGAAGAAAAGTTTTCCCTCAAAAGTTGATAAAGCTCTGTGACTTTATGTATACTGAACATATGCAAAAACAAAATGTGGAAGTTTGTTGGGAAGTGTCAGAAGTTTCCCTTTTCACACAAACTGTATCTTCGTTATTTAGTTTTAAGGTGATATAACAGGAGATGTGGCAGTAGAGCACTAATGGACTCCTAACCAGACTCCAGAGACAAAAACACTCATTCTAACAGATAATCATAAAACATTAAACTGGAATAAATCTCAATAAAACCGTCTCTGTTAGTGTTTCCAACAATCACAGATCAGTGTATCTGTATATAGAGAACAGCTGTTTGCTGATATATTCATCTTCATTATCTCATTTTAAGTTACCATTGATCCCTGATTCATTGATTTCATCATTTTGAACACATCAGGGTTGTCGATAATGTTTTTAAAGAAACATTTTGTTAAAAACTCGTATTGTCTTTTCTCTCTGAGGTTAGTGTGAAGTGGAGATAAACCCTCCTGTTTTCTTCTTCTGGTAAAAGGTGGAAACTGGAGTTAAACTTTTTAAGATCTATTGTTAAATACAGTTTGTGTCTCTCTTCCCTCCAGATGGTTCTGTCTCGGCGATACAGCTCCGAGGGAAGCTTCAAACTCAAGTCACGGAACTCAGATACCAAATCTGCCTGCAGTCAATCTCCTCACAGCGCCCCCTGTCTGCCGGAGGCCTGTTGGTGAGGAGACACACTTCCTTTGGATCTTTCCTGCAGTGTCTTCAGTTGACTTAAAGATGAATCTCCTTCCTGACCTTCACATCAGAGCCAGCGAACACACAAACAACTACACCGAGACCGAGCTGGAGCTGAGAGTCCGACAGCTGAGTGTGTGTGTGTGAGTGTGTGTGTGTGAGAGTCAGTGTGTGTGTGAGAGTCAGTGT